TCACGCAGACTAAGTACTCCTCTGATAAATATGCCAATAGGAAATTGGCAGCTATTGTGAGGCAGCATCTCAGAATTAAGAGGTAATGTCATTATACCAATGGTGTTGTGTGCAAGAAAATTCTATAATTACTATTTCATGAATATGTAAAAAATTATTAAGAATAAGATATTAATTATTAATGCTATCTAGTTTTTTAAGCAAAGTAGAAGAAATTTTGCAGTATATATGTTTGGTGGAAGTAGTCGGGTGTACATTCATTTTGTGTCTTCTTGGATATCACATAATAATGGTACACACAAAAAATTATAAGTTTAATATAACTAAAAAATATATTATAATTATTGTATTATTAAAAAAGGTTAATTAAAATAGGAAATATTTTTAATGTTTGTTTTACAGGAGTGGGAAAATAATGATGTAGTATCTATGCTAACGTACATTATGCTTCTTGTATCATTTATTTTTAATATCTTCATACTATGTTTCATCGGTGAGCTTCTCACAGATCAGGTATTAATCAATAATTGTTGTTTGTTAATACTTTATCGGACTGATAAGATTCACTGATCTATTATATTATCGTATTACAGAGCATGAAGATATACATTACTTTCTGTACTCTTGACTGGTATCGAATTCCACACAGAACTGCTCGAAGTCTCGTTTTGATAATCGCAATGTTTAGCATTCCGATTAAAATCACTGCCGGAAAATTTATGGATCTATCTCTCAATAGTTTCGGTGCTGTAAGTGCTCTTCAAATATTTTTATCTTGTTAAAATGCTATGGTCTTTTAATAACTATAAACGATAAATCATTGAAAATGTAATTACATACTTTTTAGATCATGCGAACATCTGTGGCGTATATGAATATATTACGAACAACCAGCATTTAAAACTGTAGTTCATTAGATAAAAATATTAAATCATGTGTAAAAAATTTAGATTTGAAATCTACAGATTTCAGCTAAATGTAAATAATATCATTAGAATTATAAATTAACGCAAGCATAAATTTTTTGAATCTTTTGTCATTATATTCCTCTGTTGAAAGCGGAATGTATAAACTTTATATATCTACATATATATACACTTTTGTATTCATATTATTGTTACGTCACGTTTTCAACTTATTAAATGAACTTTCATATCAATGAACTTTTTACTATGAGAATAATGAATATATAAAAATTACAATATTTTACTTACGTGATATTCTGTTTACGTATACGGTAATATGTAGCACAAACGACACTTGACCTTACTCTTTCTTATTTGTAAGTTTTCAAATTTTACGTCAAGCGTTATGCGTCACATGGCGACCTTTCTCTTTACCCGTCAACATTACGTTTATCCGACAATTTAAAATTTATCAACCCTTTTCGCGTATAACCCCATCATTATGCGCAGACGTTTAATGCACGCAAGCGCGCTACACTATCTGCTCTTACCACAGAAAGAGAGACTACCTATCAACACATCTGTCCAGTTATGTTCCAACTTTTAGTCTTAACTAACCACCTGTCAGTAGTAAACACCGAAACACTACAATTTAACGGAAATTCTCAGTGACTGGAAAGGGACAATATAAACTCAAAATTTGCGGTCGAGAATTCAATTATCCGTTAAAAAAAGATATTGAATGAAGCTATAATAATGAAAAGCTCATCGATAACTAGCAAACACGATAATGATTTCAAATACGCCGTACAAGTGACTCGTATTATTTTGCGAGCAATCGGTGCGTGGCCGATTCCTAGTTACGCTTCCAACGTGGAAAGAATTGCGACGCGTTTTCAAAATGTCATTTGTTACCTTTTATTCGCGTTCATTATTGTGCCGGGTTTTCTGCGTATACTTCTAAAGGAACACGAATTCAAACGTAGAGTGAGATTGTTTGGGCCGCTTCTGAATAGTGGGATGGGTTGGATGAAGTATTTTTTGCTCTTAAATCACGCAAAAGAAATTCAATCTTGCCTGAAGCGAGCGCAACAGGATTGGACCGACACGGTCAATGGAAGCGATCGGAAAGCGATGTTGTCTACAGCGAGAGTAGGCCGAAAATTCGCGATTATTTCTGCCATCTTCATGTACATCGGCGGATTATCTTACCGCACGATCGTGCCGCTTTCGAAGGGTCGTATGCTCACACCGGCGAACATCACGGTGAGAGCGTTGGCATGTCCGAGCTACTTCATCAAGTTCGATGGACAAGTCTCGCCAGCATACGAGATCGTCTTTACTCTGCAATTCTTTGCAGGAGTAATCATCTATTCGGTAACAGTCGGCGTGGCCGGCTTGGCCGCATTTTTTATTATGCACGTTTGCGGACAATTAAGTATTATAATGGGCAAACTGCAGCATCTCAACAACATGTCAAATTCTAATGATCGAGCTGTCGCGATATTGCTGGCTGATATCGTACAGCATCAAATAAAAGTGAAAAGGTGAGTCTACAAAAAATATATGAGATGGGAAAGTCTTATATAAATGCTTTATTTTGTTAAGTAAATAATTTAAAACTGTAGTTGACATTGGTGATTAAATTAGCGTATCATTATTGTAGTTGTAATCTTTTTAATGATGCGCCTATATATTATAGAAAAAATAAAATGTTTAAATTAAAATTATAAAAACTGAACTAAAACATTGTAATTATTATAGTTATTAAATAAACATTAAAAAAACTTATTTTATTTAAATGTTAACATGTTAACATATAAATTATATTGTATTATTTATTATATATTTTCTATTACAATATAATACTTTAAATAGAAAATTGAATAAATCATTAAATAAAAGAATCATTACATAGATTAATTATTTATTTACAGTTTTCTAACACAAGTAGAGACAACTATGCGATATGTGTGGTTAGTGGAAATAATGGGTTCTACTATACTCTTATGCCTTTCAGAGTACTATATTATTATGGTAATAACAATGAATACTTTCTACAAAGCTTTTATTGATGCATAATATAATAAACTCAAATATATTACAAAACAGGCAAGTGAGAGTAAATTTAAAATCTACGCGGTTGTCAATGCGTTAAAATATAAATATATTAAAAAATCTCTTTCAAAAGATTACAAAATTACAAAATTACAAAATTATGACTGGAATTCAGTCGAAACGTATGAATTTTGTAATTTTGTAATTTTGTAATCTTTTGAAAGAGATTTTTTAATATATTTATATTTTAACGCATTGACAACCGCGTAGATTTTAAATTTACTCTCACTTGCCTGTTTTGTAATATATTTGATTGTTTGTTTATCGAGAGTCCAATATAGACGTTAATATTATTTTTATAATAAACTCAATTATTTTTTGCATGAAAATTAAGACAATCTCATAGTATTTAAATCAAATTAAAAATTCAAAAGACTTAAAAATAAATTATTTTATAAGCTTTGCAACTGTTAATCTCATAGGAATGGCAGAATAATAATTCAACAGCAATGTTAACCATGTTTGTGATGTTTGCATCTTTCACTTTTTCCATTTTTACCAACTGTTATGTGGGTCAACGACTGACAGATCAGGTAGCAAGTATTCATATTTTCTTGTAAAAATTAGACACCAACGTTTTCACAAGCATCTTTACAAAATATACACTTACTTAATTATGACAGAGCATCAAGGTTGGATTAATGACAACCACGATAAACTGGTATCGTCTTCAATGTAAAAGAGCCCGTTCTTTAATACTGATAATGGCAGTTTCTAATATTCCAGCAAAAATTTCCGCAGGCAGAATAATAGATATGTCTTTACTTACCTTCAGTAATGTAAGTATAGAAGCTTGTTTTATTTTATTTACAAGCAGTGAAATCGCCTATTTCGTTATTTCACAGATCGTTAAATCATCGACGGCATACTTTAATATGCTCATAAAATTAACGTAATTTTGATAAAATAATTATCATAACAATAATACTCGATATTAATCTGTAATTGACGCTATCTTTGAAACGAATGAACAAGATGGAAAGAACTAATTCTACTTATTGTAATCCTAATCTTTCTTTTTTACTACTTAATAACAAGTTTCGTAAGAAATTAAGAAAAACTATAAACAACGATTTTTCAACGTATTTTATATTCACTTAAGATTTCCAATTTTCAAATTATTTCTTATTAACAAAATTACACGTATGATTTCTAATTTAAAAAATCAGATTTATCAAGGTATTAAACATAATTTAATTGATAATTCGCGTAGTTTGCGAGGGGGTAACCACTAGCCGAAATATTGTCCCACAGATTACATGATTATTTTATTTGATTTCATACGATTTCATCTGATGAAAAATAATTTTCTTCACTATACATATGAAGTTATTTAGTAAAATAAACGATTATATTTGATATTATACAATTATTCCTTGTAATTGCATATGTATAATTATCGGATTATATATCACTGTAAAAAATAAAATGTTAATTTTAACTCAAAGACATTGAGTGGATTTTTTGAGACATGCAAAAATGTTAAAATTAACATTTTTGTGTTAATGTTAACATTTTTGCATATCTCAGAAAATCCACTCAACGTCTGTGAGTTAAAATTAACATTTTTTTTTTACAGTGAATGTAAGGATTTTATATGAATCTTATACTGATTTCAGGAACTCTATCCCACGGTTACATTAAGTGGTTACCCCCTCGGTGGTTTTTGTTGTTTCAATATAACCCTCAATCTACGGCCTATGACCTGACATAAGTTTTATACTTTTGCTAAAGGCCGTCTCGTGTGAGAATCGATCCTATTCCATAATTATCTCCTACCAATAAAAAATTGCGCACACGCAACCGTGTTCCAAACTTTAAACTACGCCGTGACAGAACCACTAAGGTAACGGCGATTCACGCAGACGCGACAGCGTGCATAATACAAATTAGGTTTCGTTGTACTTTAGTTGCGATTGTACGTCCGCTTCGTAAACAACTAAGAAGAAGAAAGAAGATTTTCTCCGGTTCATCCATATGCATACTACGATCAAACAGACTGATTTACAGAATTCCAACTACGAGGACGACATTAAGTATACCGTGCAGGTGCACAAATTTATTATGGGCGTGATCGGTGTGTGGCCGAATATGAGCAAACCCGGAAAATGGACGAAACTTTTCAGAGGATTCCTCAGAATTATGTGCTGCTTCCTACTGTCTTTTAATCTGATACCGTGGGTGTTATATATGTTTCTGATTTTGGACTCATTTAAAAGCCGACTCAAGATGGTTGGAGGATTCTTCTTCTACAGCATGGTTCCTGCCATGTATTTCACACTAATGTTACGCGAAGATCGTATCAAGAAATGTATGAGGCATTTGCAGGAAGATTGGCGGAATGTATTAGACGCGAACGATCGTAAAATTATGTTGGACCAGGCCAAAGCCGGGCGTTCTATCATCATCTGCACTATGCTATTCATGTTTAGCAGCGGTTTCATTCATCGTCTGATTAAACCAATACTTAGTGGTACGATCGTAATCGGAAACGTGACGATCAGACCGCTAGTGCACAACAATTACTACATTTTCTTCGATCCGCAGCAGAGCCCCGCTTACGAGATCATATTTTCGATGCATATGATAACTGGCGTCATCATACACACCATATCAACCAGCGTCTGCGGCATCACCGCGTTATTCGTCATGCATGCTTGCGGACAACTCAAAATATTAACCGTTTGGCTGGAGAACGTGGCGAAAGAAAATCAGTGGTCGGAACACGTCATTGCTCGAAAATTAGCAGCGATTGTCATGCATCACATGAGGATACGTAAGTAAGTAGCTGAAACTATCACTCATTTCCCGTTAATTCTAAATTTCTTTTTAGGTTTACAATTTGTCTCAAAATATGAAAATTTTGCATTGAAATACTATTAATTTCGTTTGTGATGCTTTTCGGAATCTCAACTGTCTATTTGTTGAATATTAAACTCAAAAAGACTCTGGGTAAATTTAATCCTTAAATTATTTATTAGTCTTGTACGGTCAAAGATTTTTATCAAATATGTTAAATTAAAAAAAAATCTAATATACGATACGAAAAGTTACAATGATACATATTTGAATAATATCGAATTCTAGATTTTTACATCGGATGCAAGATGTCGTAGGAGAAATGTGTTGTATCGAAATTGTTGGAAGCACTTTAATAATGTGTCTCCTAGGATATTACGTGGTAACGGTACGCAACGGTAGTGAATTTGCATTTATTAATATATTTATCTTCAACAGAATATACCCAAACAAATCTTTCGTACTCGTGCTTTCAATTTTTAGATAGTGATACATGTGGTTAAATAATAATACATTTTTTAGGGATGGGAATTGAATGACACACTATCTTCTTTAATATATGGATTAATGCTTGTATCTTTTACCGTCAATATTTTCATATTATGTTATATTGGAGAACTTTTAATTAGTCAGGTAGGGTACGTAGATAATAAAAATGTGCAAATATAAAAATTATCATTAATCGGAAAAGTACATAATAATAAAATAAAATATTATATTATAAAAATATTGTAAATAATATGCTTAAAAGAATAATATACTTAAGAAAAGTTGTAAAACTTTAATAACAAAATGCTAATACTATACGTGCATTTGTTATATTTCATATAATAGGGGAATGAAGTAAGCACAATTTGTTGCATGGTCGATTGGTATTACTTGTCTAGTAAAGAAGCTCGTTATCTTATCCTAATAATCTCCATGGCCAGATATTCTACGAAACTCACAGCTGGTAAAGTGATTGACCTTTCATTCACCAACTTCCTCGCCGTAAGCAATTTCTTTGCCCGTATATATTATCCATACTATAACAATAACAAAGTAAAGTTTCTATAAGAATCACATATTTAAATGTGTTATGTACGAATTATTTCTCGATATATATAAATTTATATATTTAAATATAATTTTTTTGAAAATATTATTTTATTAATAAAAATATAGCATCATTCCGGTAACGATTTCTTTTCATAAATGTATTATATATACACATCTTTTTATAAAAATTTATTTTAATGTATTTTATGTATATACATATAAAGACTTCGTGTGAATAACTTTCATTAACTTTCAGGTTGTTAGAACCGCGATGGCATATTTAAACTTGCTACGGACAGTTGCTCTGTAATTGAGTGAATATTACGTCGTATACGAAAGAACTTGTCATATTATGCTGAACAAGTATTTGTAATCTTTATCGAAAGCTCAAAAATAGTCTCTATAGATCCAACTTTGTATTTAATCTTCAGATTTTTACTAACCTGAAATCTGATATCTTTTTTCACATATATAGAAAATATAATTTGAGTTTCAGCTGTTAATAAAATTATCAATAAAATATATTGATCGTGTATGTATATGTATACCTATGACGGTATACAGTTTAACATTATTTACAGTCCGTGTCGTGAACTACTTCAAAGCACAGTTTACTCTTTTTCTCCGGAATATATTTTTCTTTCTGCCACACACATTGCGAAGACCAAACCACGCGTTCGTTAGTTTGCGCATGACGTTTTATCTTTCTCCACGATTTTCTAAAACAGGATAGTCTATATATATCACTATGATGTCTCCTTCATACTGTCTACTAATATAAAAGCTATTATAAAATGCACCTTTCAGGAAACGCAACAGTTCTTGAAGCACCACATACCCTTTTCAGATAATCGCGCAAAGTTTTCCGTTACTCGCTTGGAAAATCTCTGCGTAAATCCCTTTTTTCTTTCACGGAGAATATAAAAAATGACGCAAGCGCAGATTAAGTCGATAACGAACTTGAAGTCTCGCTACTGTCAGTACATATCTATCATTCGTACTGCGATAATGGAGAATCTATCTCGATATCTTGATCGCAACAAGTCTGGACCATACAACCAGAATTACAAGAATGATTTTCGAACCAATTTGCAGCTAAATGTCTGGATCATGAAAATAATCGGCACGTGGCCGCTGACGCACTCCTCGATCGAGATACTGTGCTACAGAGTGTTGAATGTAATTTGCTACATACTACTTGCATTACTCTTAATTCCCAGCGGCATGTACATCGTCCTGGAAATCAAGGACTTTTACAATCAATTAAAGCTCGGTAGCGCTCTTACATTCTTCTTCATGGCCGTATTGAAATACTGCGCTTTGCTTTTACGCGAGAATGACATACGCAAATGTGTCGATTATATCAAGAGTGATTGGAAAAACGTAAGATACATAAATGAAAGAAGAATTATGCTGGAGAACGCAAACTTTGGTCGTCGGCTAATCGTCATCTGCAGTGTCCTCATGTATGGCGGCGTCATGTTCTATTACGTGGCGGTGCCACTGACTCGCGCAAAGATCATAGAAGAAGATGACAATTTTACTTATCGCAGCCTGGTGTTTCCAATACCCAGTGTGATTGTCGATGCTCGTCATAGTCCGGTTAATGAGATTTTTTTTTCCATGCAGTTATTTGCCGGCTTTGTCGCCCACAACATCACACTAGCCGCATGTAGTTTGGCAGCTCTCCTCGCAATGCATGCATGCGGACAGTTGCAGGTGCTCATGTCCTGGATAAACCATTTAGTCGATGGTCGAGAGAACGTCAACGACACTACAAATGAGAGATTGGCTAAGATAACACAATTACATGTGCGTATCTTGAAGTAAGTATGACTTCGGATTGAAACATTGCGTGTGCATTATTTGTCAAAAGTTGAGACATCGGAGATTAAATTATGCCGATTTTTAAATAATGTGCTATGCATAAACAGAATATATAGATATTATATATATATATGTGTGTGTGTGTGCAATTTGTACATATGTATACATACATATACATACATAATGAGATTTGCCATAAAATATACGCTTATAAATTTTATTAAAAAAAATTCGATTACTTGTTCCACGAATTTTTAGCTTCATATCTCTAACCGAGGAATTGTTGCATGAAATTTCTTTGGTGGAAGTTGTGGGATGTACGTTAAATATATGTTTTCTTGGATATTATTGCATGATGGTATATATCTATTTAATAAAGTAAGCTTAATTTAATGTAATTTAATTATAACATAATGAATTCATAAATTGTTATATTGTTAATATTACAAATATATCAATGTTAATTAATAATGTATTAAAAATTATTTATCTTAGAAAATCTTTTTGTCGTAAAAAGTTTTTATTTGTCAATCATAAATAATGTATATTATGTATATATAGGAATGGGATTTTAAAAAACCTGTGAGCGGCTTATCATATCTGATACTCCTCATTTCGCTTACGTTCAACATATTCATATTTTGTTACCTAGGCGAACTTGTAACGGAACAGGTACATCCAACTTTTTTCAAAACAACGTTACACAATATCCTTTGAACGGCGATATGTAATAACATCAAACAATTTACAAAACTTTACGTGATATCGTCATCTCTATAGCAGAAATCTTATAATAGATTATAAAAGTACGTGAAAGCTCGTACATGATTGATTGGTACCGACTTCCGGAAAAAAAGAGCCTTGCTATCATCTTGATAATCTGTATGTCCAATGCGACTACTAAGCTCACTGCTGGAAATATAATCGAACTGTCCATCAGCAGCTTCGGCGATGTAAGTATTATATCCAGGTATAAATATTGTAAAAAAGTAATTAAAATTTTACATATATTATATTTTTTATAAAATTGCTACTAACAAAGCAACGCCTGCAAAACGCTAAAAAAAAGCGCTTATATATGGTACACCCTTTTTAGCGCTTTTTTAATGCTCTGTAAGCGCCGAGTGCTATACTTGGATAGTTTAATTTTTTATCAAAAGACATATAATGAAATTAAAAATTTGATGCATTTTACGATATAAAATATATTTTTTTATTTAATCGCATAAATTATAACAATGCACTTATCAGCTTAAAAATTTGACGCACAATGTAATGTGTTAATTGTAATAGGTTATCAAATCATCTATCGCTTATTTGAACATGCTACGAACGTTTACTACTTGAGAATGTACAATTTGAGTTATAGTAGTACTCATTTAATGACATTAAACACGAAATAGCATTAAATTTTGAATACGTTTATTCAACAAATCTTACGCTCCAAATAAAAATCGAAGTATGTATGTAATAACTAATATCGCACAATTTCATTTACGATATTATTTAGAAAATCTTCTTAAGTAATATCTGAATAGTATCAGTATATATATACACGTGCATCTTTGTTTCTTTATGCATAATGAATAAATGATGCTTCAATACAAAGCAATAAATTAAAATTCACTCTTCCCAATGCGTCTTCATAAAAATATATATACAATATTTAAAAAATTTCATTCCAATGATATTAGAATATAATCTATATTAAATTATAAAATAATTCTGTACAATCTTGAAAGCACATCGTAAAATAAGAGAAAAGAGACAGTGCATTTCATTCATTAAGAAATATATTATAATATTTTTAATTCCATGTAATTGTGTACAAGTGTAAAATGTATTCATATGCTAAATCATATATTTATATTTCCGTTTAATATCATATAATACCTTACGCAAGAAGGAAATTTGCGATTTGCTCTAACAAATTGCGGAAAATTTCTCCGTGAAGAATGTAAATCTTTCCATTTATAATTCATGGACAAACGGGAACAGTACTGCATAAGGAACCCTTGACCCCTCTCACGGAAATCTAGAATAGCGTCTGTAAAGTTTACCCTTCGTGTTCTGTCGATTGCTTTTTTCTTAGAAGAGAAATTGCACGGAACGGCGCAGACGCGACGCTTAACTATTCCCGCTCAAAACTCTCGCAATCCTCTTAGTAATCATCGAGCTCTCGTCTTCAGTCATGCTAGGAAGCTTTCTATAATGGAAAGAACAAATCCTATCGCAACAGTCTACGATCACGCGAAAGACATGCAACTGAGCATTCAGCTGAATCGTTGGATACTAAAGCCAATCGGCGTCTGGCCGAAATTAACTGAAATTTCACGTATGGAGAGATACGCGTACGGATTGGTGAATATCATTTGCACCAGTCTAATAGGATTCCTCTTCGTACCCTCCGCAATCTTCATGGTGCTTGAAATGAATGATACGTATCTCATTTTAAAACTTTCCGGTCCGTTGAGTTTTTGCCTAATGGCCGTTGTTAAATACTCTTCGCTGATTTTTCGCGAGAATGACATCCGCAGTGGTATCAGGCATATCGAAAACGACTGGATCAACACTCGGCATTCTAATGATCGGATTATCATGATCAGGAATGCCAAGTTTGGACGGCGCCTCGTATCGATCTGCGCATTCTTCATGTATGGTGGTGCCGTATTTTACTATCTTGCTTTGCCTTTTAGTAAAGGCAAGGTTACAGAGAGTGATGGAAATCTGACGTATCGGCCACTGGTGTATCCAGTCGCCAGTGTCATTGTCGACGCGCGGCATAGTCCCATCAGCGAGATTCTCTTTTGGATTCAGTGCTTATCGGGTTTCATAGCACACTCCATCACTGCCGGCGCGTGCAGTTTAGCAGCCGTGTTCGCGATGCATGCCTATGGCCGTCTAGAAGTCTTAATTCACTGGATTCAACATCTAGTGGACGGTCGGGAAGATTTTTGTGATAATGTGGATGAAAGATTGGCAATGATTGTACAGCAGCACGTTCGAATTTTACAGTAAGTTATTCCCGTGAATTGTCAGTGTTTCTTAAAATTCTTATTAAAGTGTTAGTAGAAACGCGCGAATTCAAGCTTAAAGCGCACTTTATTATATTACACACATATATAAAGCGCTTCAATTATTTTCTATTTATGAAGCAAAATGCATCTCTCATGCGTTCGCTCAGTTGACACTATCTAAAAAAACACAATATCTGTCAATGTTATAATTTTAAACTCAATAATATAAATGTACCTAATATAACACAATATAAATGATAGAATTCGAAATTATAATATTGGTGTTTTGTTACTTTTAGTATCGACTGGATATATTCTCTGCAATAACATATACATTATCTTCCAGTTTTATATCGCTAACGGACAAAGTATTGCGTGAAATATCTATTGTGGAAATAGTAGGATGTACGTTAAATATGTGTTTTCTTGGATATTATTCTCTTACGGTATGCATATTGTACAAAAAGTACGTACCAAAGCGCATCGCTATTTCGAAACAATGTCAAAGATACGTACGACGTATACAATTTACAATGTATATGTATTTGATACGTACAATATATACTCGAATATGGAATAATAGTTCTAGAATATGGAAATTTTCACATTCCAGGAATGGGAGAGTAAAGAGACTACAAGTTATATAACATACATTGTTCTGCTTATATCTCTTACATTCAATATTTTCATATTTTGTTATATCGGTGAACTTGTTGCTGAAAAGGTAAAATCTTTACAGTCAAAACACTTGTCTGTACTTATGATAAATTTAATAATAAACTTTAAAGTGAAGAGTACAACACCTTTACAGTTTATTCTTATAATACACTGAAAAAGAGTTTGATAGTAGCTACAAAATATTTAGTAAAATAATGCCAATTAAATGTTTGTGGTTAATATAACTAAACATAATTTTATTTTTACAAATATTTAACAAGCTTTACCAAACGGTTTTAAAAACGGTAATATTAAATATTTGTAAAAAGTTAAAATTACTTTTAGTTATATTAATTAAACATTTAATTGGTATTATTTTACTGAACATTTGATAACTATCACCAAACTCTTTATACAGTGTAATATTATAATTTTAATAATAATGAAATTTGTAAATTTAAGAATTTATTCAGAATTAATTCTTTCTGTGTAGGAAATACAAAATACTGACCATACCTAACGGTCGAAGCTGGATCTTTAATGCTTAAATAATTCACAATAAATTATTTAACCATTACAGATCCCGCTTCGATCATTGTGGCCATTTCCTATTTCCTATTTATTGAATTTTCAAATGTACGGTTTAATAAGATTCTCTTTTTGTATTTATGCTGTAAAAAAAGATAAACAAATAATCTCGAAAAATAATTTGTAAACAGTGTAAGAAAATCGGCGAAATATCATACATGATCGATTGGCATCGTCTATCGGAAAGAAAGGGCCTCGCCCTCGTATTAATAATTGCCATGTCCAATTCATCGATTAAACTTACCGCCGGAAATCTCTTCGAATTGTCTCTCAGTACTTTTGGTGATGTAAGTAACGCAATATCAATATCTATTATATTTATTAATAAATATGATTTACATATCATTTATTCAACCGATAGGTGGTTAAGACATCTGTTGCTTATTTAAACATGCTGCGTACATTAACTACATAAAGCTCATCTAAAGTATAAAAATAATTAACATTATTACTGATTGCAAATAAAAGTCAATTAGGTACATATTTGATGCCAGTTATTTGATATACATTTCAAGAAGAAAAAAGGAAATAAAAACAGTTTTAAAAAATAGAAAATTGATTAAAATTTACTAAATACTTACTGAAAAGAAGAGACTAAAATATATTTTTCACATATTCTTCATAAAAATATTTTTTAATATTTCACACATTATTATACAATATAAAATTATGCAATAAGAAAAATTCCGAATAAATAATCCTTTTGAGGCTTTCACGATTATTATCTTCAAAGATACTAAAAGTTTTGCGCCGTGTTTCTATCCATGATTCTACTGTCTTTCGTGAACTTTGCTATTCACTTCATCAGGGCAAGAAGCTCATTGATACTGTATCAGTATACTAAATATCAGTGCGCTCCTTGTCCCAATAAAGTGAACGACAAAGTCCACGAAACGTTGGCATTAGCAATGGATAAAACACGGCGATGTTCCGAATAAAATTACAAAAAGTTACTTTATTATTATAACTGGCATAACGCTGCTTTTTCTAAATTACAATAAATTTTAAACATGTTGAATTATCGAATTTTCATAATTCTTTGAATAAAATATCAAAATATAAAATATTGTATTATTTATTACCTAATATTATAAGATGTACATGACTATTCTGATATTTTAAAATGGTGAGAAATAAAATCAAAACATGAATGTATATTTCTTTTTATTGTAAAAAACAATAAAAAAGATTTTTTTTTAAATTACCAAACATTTACATGAGCACTTTTAGTAGTACAAAGGATATTGTGTAAGTATTCCACTTCACATCATGTTTGCTGAAGTATGTCATCAGTTATGGTACCAATGGTGGCCACAATTCAGTTGTGTAAAACATTTACGTTTGGTACCTTGATGGAGTAAATGAAGTAATATCTTGGGTATAATTCTAGAAGAATTCCAAGGAAATGATATCACAGGAACAAGAGATCATCAAAAATGGAATTCCCTCGCTCAATCCAATGATCTAAAAGTGTTCATGTGAATGTTGGAAATGTAGAAATTTTTGTAAGCAATTCTTTTTAGTTGTATTTTACAATAAAAATGTCTAGAAATATGTACAGTATGTTTATATTTCTCATCATTTCAAAATACTGTTTATAGCAAACCTTCTGTATTTTAATGTTGAAAATACGTATATCTTTTCATATATGTATAGTATCATTAGATACATACTTTATTACTTGATATATTAATGAACAATAAATATTTCAATATAAAACAATAAAACAAAATATTTTCAAAGTATCTTTATAGTAATATATTTTACAACGAGAGAGAGATTACAAATATATTAAATATAATAAAACTATATTTAAATATTACCTAAATATTATATATAATACGATTTGAACGAAGTTCTCTATTTTATTTAACATCGAATAATTTCTCAAATTTTTTTTCATGAGATAAGACAAAGTGTATTTTTTTTTAGTTAAAATATATTGCAACAATATTTGTATTTCTATAAGATTGTATTTCTACATTTATATATAGGAATTATGTAATGTACACATATAGACAAAATCGTATTCGTGTACGCGTATATGTATAATATTATATAATATAAGAAAAAAAACATTTGCGATCTGTTCCAATAAATTGCGGAAAATATCTTCGCTAAGTATGTAAATCTTTCTGTTTATAATACGGGAACAGACAGGTGCAGCATCGCATGAGGAAACTTTTATTTCCCTTTGCGGAAATTGAGAATTGCGTCTAGAAAGTTTACCCTTTGTATTCTATTACTTGATCGTCCCTTTCCTAGGAAGAAAGTTACGCGGAACAGCGCAGTCGCATTTTCACTTTCCGCACACGAGTTCTTATGCAATCCTATCAGTAACCATCGAGCTTTCATCACTTCAACTATGCACAAAATCATTATAATGGAAAAGGCAAATCCAGTGACAGTCGTTTACGATTACAAGAAAGATCTGCGGTTAAGTATTCAGCTAAATCGTTGGATACTGAAACCGCTCGGTGCCTGGCCGAAATCAATCAAGATTTCATTTATAGAGAGATACGCGTATATGCTGGTAAATGTTATTTGCGTCAGTTTAATCGGCTTCCTCTTTGTACCCTCCGCAATCTATTTGGTGCTTGAAATGGATGATGCTTACAATATCTTGAAACTCACCGGGCCGTTGAACTTTTGCCTAATGGCTGTCATAAAATATTCCTCATTAATCTTCCGCGAAAATGACATCCGTAATGGTATCGAGCATATCGCGAACGACTGGATCAACACTCGATATCATGATGATCGAATAGTCATGATCAGGAGTGCAAAATTCGGTCGACGTCTTGTGACGATTTGCGCGATTTTTATGTACAGCGGTGCTACTTTCTATTATCTCGCTCTACCGCTGAGTAACGGCAAGATCACGGAGAACGGCGAAAACTTGACGTATCGGCCACTAATGTATCCTGTTGCCAGTATGCTAGTCGATGCGCGACATAGTCCTATCAGTGAGATATTTTTTTGTATACAATGCTTGTCGGGTTTCATTGTGCACTCCATCACTACCGGTGCATGCAGTTTAGCAGCCGTGTTTGCGATGCATGCTTACGGTCGCTTAGAAGTCCTAATGCAATGGATTGAACATCTAGTGGATGGACGAGAAGACTTCTGCGATAACGTGGATGAGAGACTGACAATGATTGTGCAGCAGCACGTTCGAATCTTACAGTAAGTCAGTTTTCGACGACCACCATCGGTGCCTCTCTTGCATTCAATGTGTACATATATTTCTAAATAGCGCTTCAATTTATTTTTAATTGTTTAGGAACACTTAACGAAATCGTACTTTTCGTATAAAATATTTTCTACGCGATAACGTGTCGGTTATCTTCCAGTTTTATAACGCTGACGGACAAAATACTGCGTGAAATATCTATGGTGGAAATTTTAGGATGTACATTAAGCATGTGTTTTCTTGGATATTTTGTTATCACGGTATGCATATCGTACAAAAAGTACGTAAAGCGCATTACTATTTCAAAGAAATATCAGAGATCGTCACTCACGAGTAACACCAATGTTAATATAATCTTAAATATAGGACATTTTTTTATTTTTTCCAGGAATGGGAAAGAAAAGATATGACAAGTTATGTAACATATGTTGTTTTATACGTGTCTCTTACATTCAATATTTTTATATTATGTTACATCGGCGAGCTTGTTGCCGAAAAGGTAAAGTTCTAAAATCTTAAAATTATTAAGTTTAAAAATGGAGTCTTTGTAAGTCTTATAGGATGATAAGTGCATATTTATTTTATTGTGTGTAAGAAAACAACAAGTATTTTGATGTGATCAAATGTTTCTAAAATCTTAATTTTTTAGAGCATTTTTGCACCTTTGATAAATTGATTGCCAAACTCCACAAAGATGTTTTTACAGTACACGGTTTATTTTTTTCGTAATGGCAATGGTAATCGTTTTGAAATTAACTATTTGAGAAATATTCAAGTTTTATCTTATAATAATCTTAAAATAATCTGATATAGACATGAGCTCATAACTTCAGTGCTGATTTGTGTAAATAGGAGAAATAATTCAGCATTTATTTCACCATCCTAAACACAATGTTCAAGCATTAAGAACAGTTGAGTTTTATTAAAATATAGGTTACACGAGAGAGGAATGCACGTCAATATTACAAAGGACTGAAAGATATATACGGAAACGCTGCTTTCCGTATCAAAATGCTGAAAGATGGGACGATGCCTTTCGATGTGAACGTGAAAATATTTTCCGTGAATAGGACGGACATTCTGACATCGATAGATGAAGAACACGTTGCATCGGTTTAAAATTATATACATGGATACGTAAGAAACTGAGTGTGAAATTAAAGAGATTCTCTAATCAAAATCATAAAATAACGTCCCAATTTTGATTGATGTCATTTTTTAGTAAATAATACTCTTGTGTACATTACGATAGTGGTCTCATTTTAAATATATTATGATTGTGTGCACTATGGCAGTCACACACTTTTATTAAAAAGTTGTTAATCAAATCATTGTCAAATCATTGATCGTTTTCATTGTCAATCTAACCTTGACGTTATTTTGTAGCTCTTTTATTAGAGAGTCGTTAATTTTATCTAATTACAAAAATTAGACATTGAAGATATAAGCTAATATGTACACACAAGAATATTGATTAAACAAAAATATAACAAATAAGTATTTCTCAAATAGTAAAATTTATAATGATTAACACTTGTTGTTACAAGAAAAAAGGCCATTTATTTTTACAATAACCGAAAAAGAACACTAATTATAATAATGAACTTTATAAAGTATTATAATTTATTTTAAACAGTTATATATATATATATATATATTGTTAGCGACATAAATATAGTTATGTGTTTCATATAAAAAAAAGAAATAATCTCATAAATAGTGCAAGAAGATTGGCGAGAAATCGTATATGATCGATTGGCATCGTTTGTCAGGAAAAAAGGGTCTCGATCTCATCTTAATGATCGCTGTGTCCAATACGTCGATCAAACTTACCGCCGGAAATCTTTTTGAGTTGTCTCTCAGTACTTTTGGCGACGTGAGTAAATATCATCGTATATCATATCTTTGTAACTATCGTGATTTACACATTCTTCGTCCAATTGATAGGTGGTTAAAACATCAGTCGCCTACTTAAATATGTTGCGTACATTAACTATGTAAAATTTATCTAAAATGTAAAAATTATTAATACGATTACTAATAAATGCCAATTAGTTGTATCAACAGCATAGTGAAAAAAAGAAACGGAATGAATGTTATTTTAATAAACAGTTAAAAAATTGACATATATGTATACTAAAATATATTTGTTAAAAGAGAACGAGATAATTATTCGTACGTTTTTCTAAAATATATCCTGATGCTACACATATCATTACGCGATTCAAATTATACGAATTGCTAGAATGCAATAGGAAATATTGGGTATTGTTATATCGCACCTCTATTGTTTGTAATTAAATAAAATTTCATATTATCAACGGATTTAAAAAAAAAATTATTAGATATTGTATATAATATATGAAATTAAATTTTAAATGTCAAAAATTAAGGCTTAAAATCAATGGACTTTTAAATATGAGTAGTGCGTTATTGGTATTACTAATTAATTAATTATAACAAAAACATAAATTTTCTGAATTCTTTTAACATTATATTTAACTGTTGAAAGCGAAATGTATATAATCTTGATATAGGAATTATAAAAAGTATCTGGACAATGCAATCTCCAGCATTTTAAAAAAGCATTTTAAACATCTCGATACAATGATTTTTGACGAAGTGTAATTTTCTGAATTCTTTTAACATTATATTTAACTGTTGAAAGCGAAATGTATATAATCTTGATACAGGAATTATAAAAAGTACCTGGACAATGCAATCTGGGAATATCTCGAAAACTAAGCATTTTAGCAAGAAGTGTTTCAGATAAAAGTTGTAGGATTTTAAAAGATACATTTACTAGCACTATGAATTTGTTCTCGGGTGGGGTCACCAAAATTAGGCTGAGGAATGACAAGGAAATATTGAATTTTTTAAATGGAATTTTCTATTTTTTATTGCATATTCTTGTAGTCTTCCTTTAAACCTGTTCAAAGCATTATAGTTTTATCCACTTTAAGAAAGCCGTTTCGATGTTATCAAGTTTCCTATAATAAAATGTCTAACCCACGAAGGCAAGATCTAAAGAGTGTCCAATCACAATTAAGACAAGATTTAAGACGTATCCAGCCAACAAAAAACTTTGATAACTTCAAAACGGCTTACTTAAAGTGGATAAAACTATAGTATCAATTCTTATTGGACCGCTAAATTTCAATTAAATGTCACAGCGGTCTAAGCTGGATATCATTCTTATCTTTGCTAGTCAGTATCGCATTTATCCAACATAATACGTCAACTACTTTGTAACCTCGTAATTATTCACATACGTTTAATGCACGCAAGTGCGATACATTGTCTACTCTTATCATAGAAAAAAGAACCTATCAACACATATATACTACAATTAAGACAAGATTTAAGACGTATCCAGCCAACAAAAAACTTTGATAACTTCAAAACGGCTTACTTAAAGTGGATAAAACTATAGTATCAATTCTTATTGGACCGCTAAATTTCAATTAAATGTCACAGCGGTCTAAGCTGGATAACGGGTGCTTCTAAATAATTGTGTGTGAATTTATATATTACGAATGTAATTCTTCGATTGCGCGCCGAAATTTTTTCAGAACACAGCATTAATAAACTACCGCAGTAATATCACAAGTTAATTTGACTAACAATTTAACAATTATTGGTGCTGTTTACGCATCTTATATCGATTTTACTAATATTGAATAACCTATTATATAAGGGCTGTAAATAATTAATTTTTTAATTATGCGAAAAATACTACCTCGGCCGGTAGTCGAAGCCGGATCTCTAGCATTTTGTGCGAGCGTCCTAAGTCTTCAGACTACTGAGGCAACGATGTCTCGACCGAGATAATATTTTTTACAGTGAAAAATTAATCATTTATAGTTTTTAATAGGTTATTCAACATTAGTAAGATTAATAAGTTATTCAACATTAGTAAGAAAAAAGCATTTTAAAAAAGCATTTTAAACATCTCGATACAATGATTTTTGACGAAGTTATTCTATCTCAAAGTTTGCCTATTTTTGCAGGGTGGAACAAGTGACCCTTTAATTTTGTTGAGTAGTGTATAATATATTACTATGAAAAGTAACTGATGTATTATTAATTAAAGGTGCCAGTAGAAAATGAAAATACATAAAGTGTATGTAACTTCCGGCCGATTTTCGAATCGCCTCCGCCTTCCGCTGTCCCCCTTACCTCACCGCTCCGCGCGCAGATCAAATAATGTCGCTCGAGCGTCGTGCGGCATTCGGGCCGCGCACGGTGAGGTGAGGTAAGGGGGACAGCGGAAGGCGGAGGCGATTCGAAAATCGGCCGGAAGTTACATACACTTTATGTATGTTCACTTTGTACTGGCACCTGTAATTAATAATATATCTTCGCAGAATATAATAATATATATTCGCAGTAACATGCAACACAAATGACACTTGATATTACCTTTTTCTAATATCTGAGTTTAAATTTTACAATATCACATATCGCATAGGCATTCTTATCTTTGCTAGTCAGTATCGCATTTATCCAACATAATACGTCAACTACTTTGTAACCCCGTAATTATTCACATACGTTTAATGCACGCAAGCGCGATACATTGTCTACTCTTATCATAGAAAAAAGAATCTATCAACACATATATACATATATGTTTAGTTATGCTCGAACTTTAGTTCCGTCTAACCATTTGTCACTTGTAAATACTTATTCATCAACAATTCATGTAGTTTTGTTGGTTTAATATAATCTACGATCTAATGACCTATGACCTGACACAAAGTAGACGTTTGTACTTTTATTAAAAGCTGCTTCGTATCAGAATCGATCTTATTTCATAATTATCTCCTATCGATAAAAAATTGCGCACACGCGATCGTTTGTTCCAAACTCTATACTACGCCGTGACAGAACTACTACGGTAACGGAGATGATTCACGCAGACGCGAGATTGTGCATAATGCAAAACAGTAGGTTTCGCATACTTTTATCTGTCAGTTGCGATCGTACGTCCGTTAGGTAAACAAGTGAAAAAGAATAATCGCTTCTCTACGGCTTAAGCAGGCCATGACTGAACCAACAGATTTACGAAATACAAACTATGAAAACGATATTAGGTACACCGTGCAAGTGCACAGACTTATCATGGGACTAATCGGTGTGTGGCCGAATATGGACAAACCCGGAAAATGGACGAGAGTTCTCAGGGGACTACTCAGGATCGCGTGTTGCTTCCTATTGTCCTTCAATCTGATACCGTGGATGTTATACATGTTTTTGATTTTGGACACATTTAAAAGCCGACTCAGGATGGTCGGAGGATTCTTCTTCTACAGCATGGTTCCTGCTATGTACTTCACACTTATGTTACGGGAGGATCGTATTAAGAAATGTATGAGGCATTTGCAGGAAGACTGGCAGAATGTATGGGACGCCAACGACCGTAAAATTATGTTGAACCAGGCGAGGGCTGGACGTTTTGTCATCATCTGCACTTTGTTATTTCTATTCACCAGCGGTTTCACTCACCGTCTGATTAAACCAATACTCCGTGGCACGATCGTAATCGGAAACGTGACAATCAGACCGTTGGTGCAGGGCAACTACTTCATTTTCTTCGATCCGCAACAGAGCCCGGCTTACGAAATCGTGTTTTCAATGCACTTAGTGACTGGTATCGTCATATATATCGTAACAACCAGTGTCTGCGGGATCACCGCGTTATTCACCATGCATGCTTGTGGACAACTCAAAATGTTGACCGTTTGGCTGGAGAACACAGCTACTGAAAACCAATGGTCGAAGTATGCTATTGCTCAAAGATTGGCAGCGATTGTCATACATCACGTGAGAATACGTAAGTAAGTAATTGAAATTGTTACTCATTTTCCATTAAGTTTGTGGTTAGTGCTTTGTTTAGATCGATTTTCTATATTTGTTGAATATTGAATATAAAAAGAACCCAGCTGAATATATTCTTTACATTATTGTTTAAACTTGTATAGTTAATTTTACCTATACACTTTAAAAAAATTTTTTACATAGAATGGAGAGAACTACGTTATAATAATATAAGTTTAAATAATCCTGCATTCTAGATTTTTACATCAGATACAAGACGTTGTAGGAGAAATGTGTTTTATTGAAATTATTGGAAGCACTTTAATACTTTGTCTTCTTGGATATTACGTGATAACGGTAAACAAATGTAGTTGCATTTACATTTATTCATTTTTTGGTTTATTTATAATACAACAATCTTTCGTACGCGTTGTTTTCGAATAATAACATGTTCCACAATTCATTTTTAGGGATGGGAATCGAATGATACACTATCTTCTATGACGTATGGCATAATGCTTGTATCTTTTACCTTCAATATTTTTATACTATGTTACATTGGGGAACTTTTAAGTAGTCAGGTAGGGTGTGTAGATGATAAAAATGTGCAAGTATAAAAATTATTTCTAAATAGAAGAACACATAAAAATAAAATTTCGTAAACTGGAAAATAATAAATAATATACTTAAACAATTAATACATTTACGAGAATAATGACAAACCTAATAAAGAGATAATAAACTTTTAAAACTGAATCCCAATACTATATATGCACTTGTTGCACTTTATATAACAGGGGAGTGTAGTAAACACAACTTGCTGTACGATCGATTGGTATTGCTTGCCTAGTAAAGAAGCTCGTTATCTTATCTTAGTAATTGCCATGGCAAGATATCCGACAAAGCTCACGGCGGGTAAAGTGATTGATCTTTCATTCAGCAGTTTTAGCGCCGTAAGCCGATTTGTCTATATATTTTATAATATAACAAGTAACAAAAAAAGTTTTTACAAAAATTTTATATGTATTATATATACCTTTTATAAGTATTGTTTTTATACGAAAAATTATATATTCAAATGTAACTTTTAAGCGTGAATTTATTGATGATTATTATTGTATATATCATTGGGATATGACTTTTTTTCACAAATACATATATATTTCTTTGTAAACATTTATTTGTATAAACGTTTTATATACATATAAATAACTTTTATTTATCTTTTAGGTTGTTAGAACCGCGATGGCATATTTAAACTTGCTGCGAACAGTTACTTTGTAATTGAGTAAATACTACATCATATATGAAAGAACATGTTACATTATGGAGAACAAGAATTTGTACTTATTTTCGAAACCTTATACATCCATATGTACTTTTAATTATATCTGTACATTCTCCGGATTTTTACCATCTTGAAATATATTGATGTATCTTTACTTATAAAAAATATAATCGAAGTTTTAATTTTTGATCAAATTACTAAAAAAATTGTACCTTGCTCGTGTGTACATAGAACATTATACAGAATGTCATTTAAATATCATCTTTTGAAATTCGTATCGCGAACTACCGCAAAGCAGTCACTCTTTTTTTATTATATATACAATACATATTCTTTTCTTCAACACATTGCAAAAACCAAACTTCGTGTTCGTCAGCTTGCATATGATATTTTATCTTTTTTTATAATTTTCTAAAACGAGATCCAATCTAAGTTTAACATAATATCTCATTCACAGTGTCTACTAACATGAGACCTATTATGCATTTTTGTCAGGAAATAGGATTCTCGAAATACCACCTACCCTTTTCAATAATTGTACAAAGCTTTTCGTTGCTCATTTACAATTTCCGCATAAATTCATTTTTTTCCATGAAAAATATAAAGTTGCGCAATCAAAAATCATGATGATGGCGAGTTTAAAGATTCGCAACTGTCAGTTTCGCGCATATAGCATTAAAGATTCGCAACTGTCAGTTTCGCGCATGCAGCGATAATAGAAAGATCCATTCTGTTATCTACGTGTTCGCAATGAGCCGTACTATCAGAAATACAAAAATTACGAAATTCATTAGAATTGCAACGAAATTTTTTATTCCATCTATAACCATTTTCTAGTTTTATCACAATTATCACGGTATCCATACGAGTATATGGCTTAACAGATCTCTGTTGAGTGCATGCTTACGAGGAACAGCTGGAAACAAATAATTTGAAAAATTCAAGGACTCTTTTATATAACAATAATCAATAACATTCAAAAGGGCGAAGTCTAAGAACAGGTGAACAGCTGGAAAGGGCGAACAGCTGGAAGTAAGTATACCTTCGAACATGTTTAGACATATTGTTTGTCAACAGTTGATATATCAGAAATTAAATTATGTCGACAATTAGTTTCTGTACTATGGATAAATATTCAATATATACCAGGCAGTAAATTTTAATAATTAACAAGCGAACTTTTGTAGATAAAAAAATATGTATATAAAAACTAATTTGCCATATTTCATATTTACACCTGTAAATTTTAAATAGAAACAAATGCGATTGTTCGTGCGTTTTTTTAATTACAATATATTACATATCATAAGAATGACATTTTAGGCAACCTGTACAAGTGATTTAACATATTTGATACTTCTTATCTCGTTTATGTTTAACATATTCATATTTGGTTATATAGGCAAACTTGTAATGGAACACTTTCGTCATTTTTTAAAGCAACGTTATGTAATATGCAAATCCTTCAAATGACGATATATAATGGTTTGATAAAATTTTATCTAATAATCATCTTTAGCAGAAATCTATTGATAGACGATAAAAATACGTAAGAGCTCATACATGATTAACTGGTATGAACTCTCGGAAAAGAAGCCTTGCTGTCATCTTGCAATCGTAATTTCCGTGTCTAGGCTTGGTGCTGAAAATATGATCAAGTTGGCCATCGGGTTTGGTGATGTAAGTATTATTATCACGTATAAATATTTTTAAAAAAATTAAAATTTTATATATTTTATATTATCATTTTTTGAAACTCAACGGTTAAATTTTTTATTAAACAGAACATGTAATGAAATAAAAAATTTGCTGTATTTTACGATCAAAATAGACATCGATTTAATTACAGATACTATAATAATGCAATTAACTTAAAAACAATAGGTTATCAAATTATTTGTAGATTATTTAAACATGCTACGAAAGTTTACTACTTGAGAAAATATAATTTGAATTAATAATAAAAAATGTATTTATTTAATAACATTAAATTTTACAATAAATAGCTGTACATTATAAATACGTTTGTTCAACAAATTTTGCGCTCCGAATAAACATCAGAATATGTAATATTTCATATCAGTAATATATTTTTCAAAAAATTGTTGGATAATATATACATATGTGTAAATTGTAATATTTTCTTTATATAAATTATGCTTATGTGACACTATGCAGTACAAATTATACTTTCTAGCATATAAAACGTGTTTACTAAAATTTTATAGAAAATTTCTTGTATATAATAATTCTTAGATTTTTTAAGTATTTTTGTTCGAAATTAAATAAACAATTAGAGAATTTTTCATTGTAACTTGGAAATAAAAAAGTATAATTGCAGTGCAAGCAATGAAAATACAGGATATATTAAAAATTAGTACAAGAAAGGGATTTCACAATAAACACAATAGACACACATTTTGACTGTATCTACCATTTTCTACAATTGATGTCATAAGATCTACAGAGTAATATAAGGAAAGTGTCCTAAAAATGTAATATCAATGAAACTATTCTGTTCTGCTGAGTTTCCTGATATAGCTTCTTCTAGTACAAGACGTAAAAAATGTACGTTGGAACGTCGTATACGGGGAAGATCACTCCACATATCATTTAAAAAAATAATTTTATTATTTTAATTACTGTTTATTGTAGGAGGACTCGTCAGTACGTTGTAAGAAGACTCGTCAGTACGTCGCGTACCAATCACAGCCGCCGTCGCATGCAAGCTGAAGCAAATATTTTTTGTGGTCGGGCAAATTAAATAGAGAAGGGCCGCTCGAGGCGTCCATCTGTCGCCTCAACGTCTCCGCATCGGCGGAGCCATGTATGTGTATATGCGTGTACATATACGAAACGCGTAGTGGGCCCACCGTATGCACGCAACATATTCCCCCCGTTGAGAGGGTAACGATCAATTACATTTATCTGATTGCCTGCTTACATCGACAGGACTATTCGCAGTTCGTGTTACAATATTTGTCATTGTAATACTATCGATCGATCGGAAGTGGACGAACGCTTCACTACTCCAGTACGAGTTTCGATGGTGACGGTTCGTGGGATTCCGTCTTCGCCGGGATAAATTTCTAGAACCTTGCCCAGAGCCCATTGCAGACAAGGAAGGCCCTTATCCTTGACGAGCACGACCATTCCAATAGTGATGTTTTCTCCATCTTTGATCCATTTATGTCGGATTTGTAGCTCATTGAGGTATTCTAAGCTCCATCGTGCCCAGAAATCTTGTCGTACCTTTCTGGTATGTTGCCAGGCAGATAGGCGGTTTGCTGGGACAGATGAGAAATCGAGCTCAGGTAGATTATTCAATGATTTACCGATCAAGAAATGCGCAGGTGTAAGGGTTAAGAGATCATTAGGATCTGAGGACAAAGAGGAAATAGGTCGCGAATTTAATATTCCTTCGATTTCTACGACAAAAGTATTAAATTTTTCTAACGTGAATAAAAGATCACCAACCACGCGTTTAAAATGGTGTTTGAACATTTTTACTGTGGATTCCCATAGTCCACCGAAATGTGGAGCAATGGGAGTGGCATATGAAATGCCACGTGACGCGGTGTTCCAACGAAAATTGATTAATTTTATTTTTATGTTCATCAGAATTGAAGAGACCGTATAATTCCTTCAACTTATTGTTGGCTCCGACAAAGTTGGTTCCGTTATCGGAGTGAATATGTGTTGGAACGCCGCGTCTTGATACAAAACGTCGTAAGGCGGCTAAGAATCCGTCGGTGGTGAGATCGCTCACCACTTCCAAATGCACAGCTTTTACTACCATACATATGAAGACACATACATACGCTTTAATTTGATTTCGATTTCTATATTTTTTCTCTTTGACGTAAAAAGGTCCACAGAAATCTATTCCGGTATTCGTGAAGGGAAACGCATCACGTACTCGATTTTTCGGCAAGTCACCCATTTTATAATTGACAGTATCCGCATTAAAAAGAAAACAACGTATACATGATCGTACGATCTTGCGTACCTGATTACGTCCATCAAGCAGCCAAAACTTCTGCCGAATCATATACAACGTCGTTTGAATACCGGTGTGGTAATGTTTTTCATGCGTCTCTCTAATAATGAGATCAGTGAGGAAATGTCGACTCGGAATTAAAATTGGATGCTTCTGAGCGTACGCCAATTTCGACCCCTTTAACCGTCCGCCGACACGAATCAAGCCATTCTCATCCAGGAATGGATTCAACGCAGCTATATTGGTTTTATTTACCGTCCATGTGTCAATTCCTTTACTTCGCACGAAAAGCTATGAGTTTGGATGATTTTTATTATTCTAGTTTCTGCTTCATCTAGCTCGTTTATACATAATGGTCCACGATAAGTATTTTTCGGACGAAAACGCAGGCACAACGCCATGATTCGCAGCAATCTCGAGTACGACGAATATCATTGAAAAATACTATAGTCAGGAACGTTGGTCGTCAAACAAACGTTTTTTCTGAGTTCCGGTATCTCGTTCAAGTCTATGCAGTTATTAGGTAACTCGCTTTCAGATTTCATTAATCATGACGGTCCCGAGAACCATGACTGATTATTTAAAAAATTTTTCGGTAGTTGACCTCTCGACAGCGCGTCGGCCGGATTATCCTTTGTGCTAACATATTGCCAAAATTGTGGCTGTGTGATATCTTGTATCTGAGCGACTCTATGAGAAACATAGGGTTTTAAAAGATGAGGTGAAGTCTTCAGCCAATGTAGTACTATAGTCGAATCGCTCCACATGAATACTTTGCAGAAATTTAATTTTATCACGTCACGAACCTCGTTATACAATTTAGATAAAAGAAGTGCACCGCACAACTCAAGACGGGGCGTTGTTACGATTTTTAGCGGCGCGACCCGCGACTTAGCGCATAAAAGATGACAATGCGTATTATCTTCATCATTCGAGCGAATATATAAACAAGCACCGTAGCCTGTATTGCTCGCGTCGCAAAATCCGTGGATCTGAACGTCAATATAGTTAGGGATCGATATCTGACGATGGATAGATAACTGGTTAATCAAGTTTAATTGTATTGCGAATTCGATCCATGCGCAATGTATACTAGCAGGAATAGATTCATCCCACTTTACGTTGCATCGCCATAAATCTTGCATTAGTTTTTTTGCATACAAAATGACTGGACCTAAAATGCCTAAAGCATCGAATATCCTAGCAATTTCTGACATGACGATTCATTTCGTGATTTTTCCGTCAATAGAGCGGACCGCGTAGCGTAGCATGTTAGCGCGCGCAGACCACGATATACCTAACGTTTTTAGAGTATTCGTCTTGTCAAGTACAAGATTGGCATTCATGGCATCGGGACTTAGATCTTCGATAATGCGTTTCTCGTTTGAGGCCCATTGTCGGATGTTGAAGCCGCCACGAGACAATAGTGTGATTATCTCGTTTCGCAACGAACGAGCTTCTTCGACAGTCTCCGCGCCGGTTAATAAGTCGTCAACGTAAAGGTGATTTTTAAGAACTTCTGCAGCATTAGGAAACTAGTGCTACTGTCGACTTCCCGTCATGAAGTCTTATCCGTTTTCGAATCTGCTGCGTCGATTTTCGTCGTGATGGACGGATAATTGTCAAGGTGTAAAAGCGTATTGTATCGCTTCTGACAAATCGTGCAGTTCGCATAATTGCAAGGTTTGCCCTTATGCGAACGCGAGCAGTTATAACAAAACCTGGCGTTTCTTACGATTTCAATGCGCTTAAAAGCATCTAACTGTTTGAATTTATCGCATTTGTATAACGGATGTTGCTTGTTTTTACATGCTATGCAATACATGTTCGCCATATTGATTGCAAAGGCTTTGTTAGATATACGTGGTTTTTTAACTGAGGATGAACTTATCGTCGAATCTAGAAGCTTCTGAGCGAACACGCTCAGACACGCGAACCGCGGTCCGATGTAAAAATTCATAAAGCTCGTCGATTTTCGGAAACTCGTCGCGTCCAAGAGTTTCCTCCCACTTATCGGCCGTATTCTTCGGTAATTTGCTTTCGAGTATATTAACGAGTATCTCCGATCCTACGCTAACTCCCATCGCGGCCAAGGAACCGGACATGTTGTTGTGCGTCGTCGGCGAGCTTGGATAAGCCCTCAGTAGTTTTCTTTTCTAATATTGGCAAATTTATTAACAATGAGAGATGGCGCGAGATAAGAATACGCTTCACCTCATACGCATGTTTTAATAGTTCCCAAGCTTTGGAATAGTTCGCGCTCTCGATCGTCAATATTTTAATTTTGTTAGCTGCTTCACCGGTTAATACTGATTGTAAATATTGCAATTTTTCGACGTCCGACAAATCCGTGCGCGTGTCTATCATTGCGATGAAGGTATTCTTGAACGACAACCAATTCTCATATCGTCCGTCAAAATTTGGTAACGATGCTACAGGTAACTTTATTTTGTGTTTCACGACTGTAGAGGCTGTATCAACGGGAGAAGGCGCACCGATTCCCATGCCTGTATTTGTGACGGACTCTAGGTATGGAATCTGTTAAAGTTCCGATTCTGGCAGCGAGTGAATAAAATCTATCTTGGACATTCGCGAATTCGTCTTTATGATTTTCGTTCGAATCTAGTGTTAACAATTCGTCGTTGTAATCTTCATATGCATGGTAAAGCTCGGTGACGCGAACCATTCGCAACTTTAACGCGGTCTTGTCGTAACAGCCATGTCGATCTTTTTCGAGTAAGTTCGTTGAATTGGTGATTTGTGACTTTAAAGAAGTCCGCTTCTGAATAAGAAGTTTGATTCTATCGGTCATGATGTCGTTATGAAGTAGAGAAGGATAAAGGAAATGCGCGATCGGTAATTTGTTAACCTTGAATAATGTACTCGCCGTTAGCTCGAATCCAACTGGATGATCTGCCCGATCCTAATCGCTGCCCAGTTCGAATTGTGAATCCAGATTCGTCTGCTTGCGAAACCTCGTCTGTACGTGGTTGAATGGAATCCAATGGATGGCGGAATCTCGATGTTTGAAGCGTCGTCGTCCGCGTTTACCTCGCGAACGACCTCACAGGAGGCACCAAAATGGAACGTCGTATACGGGGAAGATCACTCCACGTATTATTTAAAAAAATAATTTTATTATTCTAATTACAGTTTATTGTAGGAGGACTCGACCTCGTAATATAAAAAGAGAACTCGGTCTCGACTTGTTTGCACGGTAAGAGAACTCGGTCTCGACTTGTTCGCACGGCAAGAAAACTCGGTCTTCTAACGTCGATGCGAAGCCGCACGATGCGTATTAGTCTCTAAACGAGCCCTTCGAACCGGCTCTTTTTGGTGGGAAGTTCATCAGTACGTCGCGTACCAATCACAGCCGCCGTCGCATGCGAGCTGAAGCAAATATTTTTTGTGGTCGGGCAAATAGAGAAGGGCCGCTCGAGGCGTCCGTCTGTCGCCTCAACGTCTCCGCATCGGCGGAGCTTTGTATGTGTATATGCGTGTACACGAAACGCGTAGTGGGCCCATCGTACGCACGCAACATCCATCATTATGCGCAGACGTTTAATGCACGCAAGCGCGTTACACTATCTGCTCTTACCACAGAAAGAGAGACTACCTATCAACACATCTGTCCAGTTATGTTCCAACTTTTAGTCTTAACTAACCACCTGTCAGTAGTAAACACCGAAACACTACAATTTAACGGAAATTCTCAGTGACTGGAAAGGGACAATATAAACTCAAAATTTGCGGTCGAGAATTCAATTATCTGTTAAAAAAAGATATTGAATGAAGCTATAATAATGAAAAGCTCATCGATAACTAGAAAACACGATAATGATTTCAAATACGCCGTACAAGTGACTCGTATTATTTTGCGAGCAATCGGTGCGTGGCCGATTCCTAGTTACGCTTCCAACGTGGAAAGAATTGCGACGCGTTTTCAAAATATCATTTGTTACTTTTTATTCGCGTTCATCATTGTGCCGGGTTTTCTGCATATATTTCTAAAGGAACACGAATTCAAACGTAGAGTGAGAGTGGTTGGGCCGCTTCTGAATTGTGGGATGGGTTGGACGAAGTATTTTTTGCTCTTAAATCACGCAAAAGAAATTCAATCTTGCCTGAATCAAGCGCAGCAGGATTGGACCGACACGGTCAATGGAAGCGATCGGAAAGCGATGTTGTCTACAGCGAGAGTAGGCCGAAAATTCGCGATTTTTACTGCCGTCTTCATGTACATCGGCGGATTATCTTACCGCACGCTCGTGCCGCTTTCGAAGGGTCGTATGCTCACACCGGCGAACATCACGGTGAGAGAGTTGGCATGTCCGAGCTACTTCATCAAGTTCGATGGACAAGTCTCGCCAGCATACGAGATCGTCTTTACCCTGCAATTCTTTGCAGGAGTAATCATCTATTCGGTAAGGGCCGGCGCGGCTGGCTTGGCCGCATTTTTTATTATGCACGTTTGCGGACAATTAAGTATTATAATGGGCAAACTGCAGCATCTCAACAACATGTCAAATTCTAATGATCGTGCTGTCGCAATATTGTTGGCTGATATCGTACAGCATCAAATAAAAGTGAAAAGGTGAGTCTACAAAAAATATATGAGATGAGAAAGTCTTATATAAATGCTTTATTTTGTTAAACAAATAATTTTAAACTATAGTTGACATTGGTGATTAAATTAGCGTATCATTATTGTAGTTGTAATTTTTTTAATGATGCGCCTATATTATAGAAAAAATATATAAAATGTTTAAATTAAAATTACAAATACTGAACTAAAACATTGTAATTATAGTTGTTAAATAAACATTAAAAAAACTTATTTTATTTAAATGTTAACATTTTAACATATAAATTATATTGTATTATTTAATATATATTTTCTATTACAATATAATACCTTAAATAGAAAATTGAATAAATCATTAAATAAAAGAATCATTACATAGATTAATTATTTATTTACAGTTTTCTAACACAAGTAGAGGCAACTATGCGATATGTGTGGTTAGTGGAAATAATGGGTTCTACTATACTCTTGTGCCTTTCAGGGTACTATATTATTATGGTAATAACAATGAATAATTCTACAAAGCTTTTATTCATGCATAATATAATAATTTGACAACTCAATTATTTTTTGCATGAAAATTAAGACAATCTGATAGTATTTAAATCAAATTAAAAATTCAAAAGATTTAAAAATAAATTATTTTATAAGATTTGCAACTGTTAATCTCATAGGAATGGCAGAATAATAATTCAACAGCAATGTTAACCATGTCTGTGATGCTTACATCTTTCACTTTTTCCATTTTTACCAACTGTTATGTGGGTCAACGACTGACAGATCAGGTAGCAAGTATTCATATTTTCTTGTAAAAATTAGACACCAACGTTTTCACAAGCATCTTTACAAAATATACACTTACTTAATTATGACAGAGCATCAAGGTTGGATTAATGACAACCACGATAAACTGGTATCGTCTTCAATGTAAAAGAGCCCGTTCTTTAATACTGATAATGGCAGTTTCTAATATTCCAGCAAAAATTTCCGCAGGCAGAATAATAGATATGTCTTTACTTACCTTCAGTAATGTAAGTATAGAAGCTTGTTTTATTTTATTTACAAGCAGTGAAATCGCCTATTTCGTTATTTCACAGATCGTTAAATCATCGATGGCATACTTTAATATGCTCATAAAATTTACGTAATTTTGATGAAATAATTATCATAACAATAATACTCGATATTAATCTGTAATTGACGCTATCTTTGAAACAAATGAACAAGATGAAAAGGACTAATTCTACTTATTGTAATCCTAATCTTTCCTTTTTACTACTTAATAACAAGTTTCGTAAGAAATTAAGAAAAACTATAAACAACGACTTTTCAACGTATTTTATATTCACTTAAGATTTCCAATTTTCAAATTATTTCTTATTAACAAAATTACACGTATGATTTCTAATTTTAAAAATCAGATTTATCAAGGTGTATTAAACATAATTTAATTGATAATTCGTGTGGTTTCTGTTGTTTCAATATAACCCTCAACTTACGGCCCATGACCTGACACAAGTTTTATACTTTTGCTAAAGGCCATCTCGTGTGAGAATCGATCCTATTCCATAATTATCTCCTACCAATAAAAAATTGCGCACACGCAACCGTGTTCCAAACTTTAAACTACATCGTGACAGATCCACTACGGCCATTCACGTAGACGCGACAGCGTGCATAGTACAAATTAGGTTTCGTTATACTTCCGTCTGTTAGTTGCGATTGTACGTCCGTTTCGTAAACAACTAAGAAGAAGGAAGAAGATTTTCTCCGGTTCATCCATATGCATACTACGATCAAACAGACTAATTTAGAATTTCAACTACGAGGACGACATTAAGTATACGGTGCAGGTGCACATTATGGGCATGATCGGTGTGTGGCCGAATATGAGCAAACCCCTGAAAATGGACGAAACTTTTCAGAAGATTCCTCAGAATTACGTGCTGCTTCCTACTGTCTTTTAATCTGATACCGTGGGTGTTATATATGTTTCTGATTTTGGACTCATTTAAAAGCCGACTCAAGATGGTTGGAGGATTCTTCTTCTACAGCATGGTTCCTGCCATGTATTTCACACTAATGTTACGCGAAGATCGTATCAAGAAATGTATGAGGCATTTGCAGGAAGATTGGCGGAATGTATTAGACGCGAACGATCGTAAAATTATGTTGGACCAGGCCAAAGCCGGGCGTTCTATCATCATCTGCACTATGCTATTCATGTTTAGCAGCGGTTTCATTCATCGTCTGATTAAAACAATACTTATAAGGAAACACAATCAAGTGTATCTCTCCGATTTAAATGAGCTTTTAGTATGTTGTTCTATGGACAAAAATAAGAGACACGTATTTTTTTATACGTGCTGAGTCGCATGTTAAGGGGGTGAAATCCTGCCTTGAAGAAAATCGGTTTTTTTCTTTCGAAGCGAATATCTTCGAAACTATAAGAGATAGAAATAAATTTTTTTAATGAAAATTGAATGATTGGAAGATTACTTTATAAGTATAATGGAACAAATTTTTTTAAAGTATTTATTTATTGTATACCCCCTCCTCCACTCTTATTTTCAAAAATTTTTTTGAATAGTTTTTTTGAAGACCTGTTCAAAACATTATAGTTTTATCCACTTTAAGAAAGCCGTTTCGATGTTATCAAGTTTCTTATGATAAAATGTCTAGCCCACGAAGGCAAGATCTAAAGAGTGTCCAATCACAACCAAGACAAGATTTAAGATGTTTTCAACCAACAAAAAACTTTGATAACTTCAAAACAGTTACTTAAAGTGGATAAAACTATAGTATCAATTCTTATTAGATCGCTAAATTTCAATCAAATGCTACAGCGGTCTAAGCTGGATCACGGGTGCTTCTAAATAATTGTGTGTGAATTTATATACTATGAATGTAATTCTTCCACTACGCGCCGAAATTTTTTCAGAACGCAATATTAGTAAACTACCACAGTAATATCACAAGTTAATTTGACTAACAATTTAACAATTATTGGTGCTGTTTACGCATCTTATATCGACTAATATTGAATAACCTATTAAAGGCTGTAAATAATTAATTTTTTAATTATGTGAAAAATACTATCTCGGCCGGGAGTCGAACCCGGATCTCTAGCATTTTGTGCGAGCGTCCTAAGCCTTTAGACTACTGAGGCAACGGTGTCTCGACCGAGATAATATTTTTTGCAGTGAAAAATTAATCATTTATAGTTTTTAATAGGTTATTCAACATTAGTAAGATCGATATAAGATGCGTAAACAGCATCAATAATTGTTAAATTGTTAGGCAATTTAACTTATGATATTATTACAGTAGTTATTAGTGTTGCGTTTCAAACTTGAAATAATTTCTCGGCGCGCAATCGAAGAATTACATTCGTAGTATATAAATTCACACACAATTATTTAGAAGCATCCAATGCCAGCTTAGACCGCTGTGGCATTGGTCGCGTTCAAGAAACTCAACTGTGGTGGAGCGGATCTGTGAGCGCTCACTATGCTTTTGAATGATCTAAAAATATATACATCTGCTGAACGCAACCATCGTCTCATTCGATTTAAAACTATAGGAAAAGGTGTGAAGAAGGGTTACACAAATATACAAAAAAGAATAGAGTTTTAATTAAAAAATTCAAAGTAATTATCCTGACTTTGGCGATGCCCCTTGAGATCAAATTCATAGAGTACCAGTAAATAAATATTTTTAATCCCTATAACTTTTAAAAATGAAAAGTTCAAGCCATGTTTAAAAAAGAATACTCAAAAATTTAAACCTTTTTATCTAATAATAATACACTACTCAACAAAATTAAAGAATCACTTGTTCCACCCTACAAAAATAGGCAAACTTTGAGATACAATAACTTCGTCAAAAATCATCGTATCGAGATGATTAAAAAAGCATTTTAAAAAAGCATTTTAAACATCTCGATACAATGATTTTTGACGAAGTTATTCTATCTCAAAGTTTGCCTATTTTTGCAGGGTGGAACAAGTGACCCTTTAATTTTGTTGAGTAGTGTATAATATATTACTATGAAAAGTAACTGATGTATTATTAATTAAAGGTGCCAGTAGAAAATGAAAATACATAAAGTGTATGTAACTTCCGGCCGATTTTCGAATCGCCTCCGCCTTCCGCTGTCCCCCTTACCTCACCGCTCCGCGCGCAGATCAAATAATGTCGCTCGAGCGTCGTGCGGCATTCGGGCCGCGCACGGTGAGGTGAGGTAAGGGGGACAGCGGAAGGCGGAGGCGATTCGAAAATCGGCCGGAAGTTACATACACTTTATGTATGTTCACTTTGTACTGGCACCTGTAATTAATAATATATCTTCGCAGAATATAATAATATATATTCGCAGTAACATGCAACACAAATGACACTTGATATTACCTTTTTCTAATATCTGAGTTTAAATTTTACAATATCACATATCGCATAGGCATTCTTATCTTTGCTAGTCAGTATCGCATTTATCCAACATAATACGTCAACTACTTTGTAACCCCGTAATTATTCACATACGTTTAATGCACGCAAGCGCGATACATTGTCTACTCTTATCATAGAAAAAAGAATCTATCAACACATATATACATATATGTTTAGTTATGCTCGAACTTTAGTTCCGTCTAACCATTTGTCACTTGTAAATACTTATTCATCAACAATTCATGTAGTTTTGTTGGTTTAATATAATCTACGATCTAATGACCTATGACCTGACACAAAGTAGACGTTTGTACTTTTATTAAAAGCTGCTTCGTATCAGAATCGATCTTATTTCATAATTATCTCCTATCGATAAAAAATTGCGCACACGCGATCGTTTGTTCCAAACTCTATACTACGCCGTGACAGAACTACTACGGTAACGGAGATGATTCACGCAGACGCGAGATTGTGCATAATGCAAAACAGTAGGTTTCGCATACTTTTATCTGTCAGTTGCGATCGTACGTCCGTTAGGTAAACAAGTGAAAAAGAATAATCGCTTCTCTACGGCTTAAGCAGGCCATGACTGAACCAACAGATTTACGAAATACAAACTACGAAAACGATATTAGGTACACCGTGCAAGTGCACAGACTTATCATGGGACTAATCGGTGTGTGGCCGAATATGGACAAACCCGGAAAATGGACGAGAGTTCTCAGGGGACTACTCAGGATCGCGTGTTGCTTCCTATTGTCCTTCAATCTGATACCGTGGATGTTATACATGTTTTTGATTTTGGACACATTTAAAAGCCGACTCAGGATGGTCGGAGGATTCTTCTTCTACAGCATGGTTCCTGCTATGTACTTCACACTTATGTTACGGGAGGATCGTATTAAGAAATGTATGAGGCATTTGCAGGAAGACTGGCGGAATGTATGGGACGCGAACGACCGTAAAATTATGTTGAACCAGGCGAGGGCCGGACGTTTTGTCATCATCTGCACTTTGTTATTTCTGTTCACCAGCGGTTTCACTCACCGTCTGATTAAACCAATACTCCGTGGCACGATCGTAATCGGAAACGTGACAATCAGACCGTTGGTGCAGGGCAACTACTTCATTTTCTTTGATCCGCAACAAAGCCCGGCTTACGAAATCGTGTTTTCAATGCACTTAGTGACTGGTATCGTCATATATATCATAACAACCAGTGTCTGCGGGATCACCGCGTTATTCACCATGCATACTTGTGGACAACTCAAAATGTTGACCGTTTGGTTGGAGAACACAGCTACGGAAAACCAATGGTCGAAGTATGCTATTGCTCAAAGATTAGCAGCGATTGTCATACATCACGTGAGAATACGTAAGTAAGTAATTGAAATTGTTACTCATTTTCCATTAAGTTTGTGGTTAGTGCTTTGTTTAGATCGATTTTCTATATTTGTTGAATATTGAATATAAAAAGAACCCAGCTGAATATATTCTTTACATTATTGTTTAAACTTGTATAGTTAATTTTACCTATACACTTCATAAAAAAATTTTTTACATAGAATGGAGAGAACTACGTTATAATAATATAAGTTTAAATAATCCTGCATTCTAGATTTTTACATCAGATACAAGACGTTGTAGGAGAAATGTGTTTTATTGAAATTATTGGAAGCACTTTAATACTTTGTCTTCTTGGATATTACGTGATAACGGTAAACAAATGTAGTTGCATTTACATTTATTCATTTTTTGGTTTATTTATAATACAACAATCTTTTGTACGCGTTGTTTTCCAATAATAACATGTTCCACAATTCATTTTTAGGGATGGGAATCAAATGATACACTATCTTCTATGACGTATGGCATAATGCTTGTATCTTTTACGTTCAATATTTTTATACTATGTTACATTGGGGAACTTTTAAGTAGTCAGGTAGGGTGTGTAGATGATAAGAATGTGCAAGTATAAAAATTATTTCTAAATAGAAGAACACATAAAAATAAAATTTCATAAACTGGAAAATAATAAATAATATACTTAAACAATTAATACATTTACGAGAATAATGACAAACCTAATAAAGAAATAATAATAAACTTTTAAAACTGAATTTCAATACTATATGCACTTGTTGCACTTTATATAACAGGGGAATGTAGTAAACACAACTTGCTGTACGATCGATTGGTATTGTTTGCCTAGTAAAGAAGCTCGTTATCTTATCTTAGTAATTGCCATGGCAAGATATCCGACAAAGCTCACGGCGGGTAAAGTGATTGATCTTTCATTCAGCAGTTTTAGCGCCGTAAGCCGATTTTGTCTATACATTTTACCCGTAATATAACAAGTAACGAAAAAAGTTTTTACAAAAATTTCATATGTATTATATATACCTTTTATAAGTATTGTTTTTATACGAAAAATTATATTTTCAAATGTAACTTTTAAGCGTGTATTTATTGGTGATTATTATTGTATATATCATTCGGATATGACTTTTTTTCACAAATACATATATATATCTTTGTAAACATTTATTTGTATAAACGTTTTATATACATATAAATAACTTTTATTTATCTTTTAGGTTGTTAGAACCGCGATGGCATATTTAAACTTGCTGCGAACAGTTACTTTGTAATTGAGTAAATATTACATCATATATGAAAGAACATGTTACATTATGGAGAACAAGAATTTGTACTTATTTTCGATACCTTATACATCCATATGTACTTTTAATTATATCTGTACACCCTCCGGATTTTTGCCATCTTGAAATATATTGATGTATCTTTACTTATAAAAAATATAATCGAAGTTTTAATTTTTGATCAAATTGCTAAAAAATTGTATCTTGCTCGTGTGTACATACAACATTATACAGAATATCATTTAAATATCATCTTTTGAAATTCGTATCGCGAACTATCGCAAAGCAGTCACTCTTTTTTTATTATATATATATATATATATTCTTTTCTTCAACACATTGCAAAAACCAAACTTCGTGTTCGTCAGCTTGCATATAATATTTTATCTTTTTTTATAATTTTCTAAAACCAGATCCAATCTAAGTTTATCATAATATTTCATTCACAGTGTCTACTAACATGATAGCTATTATGCATTTTTCAGGAAATAGGATTCTCGAAATACCCTTTTCGATAATTGTACAAAGCTTTTCGTTGCTCATTTAGACAATTTCCGCATAAATTCATTTTTTTCCATGAAAAATATGAAGTTGCGCAAGCAAAAATCATGGCAAAGGCGAGTTTAAAGATTCGCAACTGTCAGTTTCGCGCATGCAGCGATAATAGAAAGATCCATTCTGTTATCTAGATGTTCGCATTGAGCCGTACAATCAGAAATACAAAATTTACCAAATTCATTAGAATTGCAACGAAATTTTTTATTCCATCTATAGCCATTTTCTAGCTTTTAGCACAATTATCACGGTATCCATATATGGCTTAAGATCTCTGTTGAGTGCATGCTTACGAGGAACAGCTGGAAACAAATAATTTGAAAAATTCAAGGACTCTTTTATATAACAATAATCAATAACATTCAAAAGGGCGAAGTCTAAAAACAGGCGAACAGCTGGAAAGGGCAATCAGCTGAAAGTAAGTATACCTTCGAACATGTTTAGACATATTGTTTGTCAACAGTTGATATATCAGAAATTAAATTATATCTACAATTAGCTTCTGTACTATGTATAAATATTCAATATATACCAGGCAGTAAATTTTAATAATTAACAAGCGAACTTTTGTAGATAAAAAAATATGTATATAAAAACTAATTTGCCATGTTTCATATATATACCTGTAAATTTTAAATAGAAACAAATGCGATTGTTCGTGCGTTTTTTTAATTACAATATATTGCATATCATAAAAATGACATTTTAGGCAACCTGTACAAGTGATTTAACATATCTGATACTTCTTATCTTGTTTATGTTTAACATAATCATATTTGGTTATATAGGCAAACTTGTAATGGAACACTTTCGTTATTTTTTAAAACAACGTTATGTAATATGCAAATCCTTCAAATGACGATATATAATGGTTTGATAAAATTTTATCTAATAATCATCTATAGCAGAAATCTATTGATATACTATAAAAATACGTAAGAGCTCATACATGATTAACTGGTATCAACGTTCGGAAAAGAAGCCTTGCTGTCATCTTGCAATGGTAATTTACGTGTCTAGGCTTGGTGCTGAAAATATGATCAAGTTGGCCATCGCGTTTGGTGATGTAAGTATTATGATCCCGTATAAATATTTAAAAAAAATTAGAATTTTATATATTTTATATTAACATTTTATGAAACTCAACGGTTAAATTTTTTATTAAACAGAACATGTAATGAAATAAAAAATTTGCTGTATTTTACGATCAAAATAGACATCGATTTAATTACAGATACTATAATAATGCAATTAACTTAAAAACAATAGGTTATCAAATTATTTGTAGCTTATTTAAACATGCTACGAAAGTTTACTACTTCAGAAAATACAATTTGAATTAATAATAAAAAATGTATTTATGTAATAGCATTAAATTTTATAATAAATAGCTGTAAATTATAAATACGTTTATTGAACATATTTTACGCTCCGAATAAACATCAGAATATGTAATATTTCATATCAGTAATGTTTTTCAAAAAATTGTTGGATAATATATACATATGTATAAATTGTAATATTTTCTTTATATAAATTATGCTTACATGACAATATGCAGCACAAATTATACTTTCTAGCATATAAAACGTGTTTACTAAAATTTTATAAAAAATTTCTTATATATAATAATTCTTAGATTTTTTAAGTATTTTTGTTCGAAATTAAATAAACGATTAGAGAATTTTTCATTGTAACTTAGAAATAAAAAAGTATAATTGCAGTGCAAGCAATAAAAATACAGAATATATTAAAAATTAGTTCAAAAAAGGGATTTCACATAAACACAATAGACACACATTTTGAATGTATCTACCATTTTCTACAGTTGATGTCATAAGATCTACAGAGCAATATAAGGAAAGTGTCCTAAAAATGTAATATTAATGAAACTATTTTGTTCTGCTGAGTTTCCTGATATAACTTCTTGTAAAACAAGACATACAAAATGTACGTGAATATACATATCATACGTATTGCTAATTAATTGTCAATATTTTGCATTATATTAAGAAATTAATAATTTTAAAAAATGTGTGTGTGTGTTTCCAAAAAGAAACAAAATTTAAATTTAAAAGTAAAATTACCTGAAATTTTCCTTAGTTCTCTGATAGAATTCCACGAATCCCTTATTTTCAAGGATAAAAGGGAATCCCCTAAAAATTCCAAGATTTGTAGATTTTCCAGGTAGTAAATACACCGTTATAATTTCAAACTTTACGAAGTTGTATATGTCATGCAACGTATAATTCACCAACCCTTTTCGTGTACCACTCATCACGCGCAGACGTTTTATACACGCAAGCGCCGTACTCATTGTATTCCTACTGCTGAAAGAGAAACTATCCATTATCATATACATATGTTCAGTCATGCTCGAGCGTCTGGTTAGATCTAACCATCTGTCACTCGTAGACACGAAATGCGGAAACGCTATTAACGGAATTAACAAAAATTCAGCGTTTAGAAAGAAACAAGATCGGTGCAAAAATTGCGATCGCAAATTCAATTGTGTTAAGTTTTAAAGTAAAAATAAAAGGAAATACGTTAAATAAAATCAATGGCAGATTCGTCAAAGAATAAGTACAAAAATGATTTCAGTTACGCAGTGCAAGTGACTCGTAATATTTTGCGGATGATCGGTGTGTGGCCAATTTCCAGTAACGCTTCCAACGTGGAAAGAATCTTGACCCGCTTACAAAATGCTTTTTGCTACTTTTTATTCGTGTTTATTATCGTGCCGAGTCTTCTATTAATATTCCTGAAGGAACACGATTTTAAACGTAGAGTGAGATTGGTCGGGCCGCTTCTAAATTGTGGGATGGGTTGCTTGAAGTACAGTCTGCTCATATATCACACAAAAGAAATACAATCTTGCCTGAAGCAAGCATTGCAGGATTGGAGGGATACAATTGATTGGAAAAATCGGGAAATAATGCTATCTAAGGCAAAAATAGGTCGAAGGTTTGCGATTATTTCTGCCGTCTTCATGTACATCGGCGGACTATCTTATCGCACACTCGTACCACTCTCAAAAGGTCGTATGCTCACCCCAATGAACACCACGGTGAGAGCGCTGGCATGTCCAAGCTACTTCGTCAAGTTCGATGAACAGGCCTCGCCAGCATATGAAATTGTTTTTACCCTGCAGTTCTTCGCTGGACTGATTACTTATTCGGTAACAGTCGGCGCAGCCGGATTGGCTGCATTCTTCGTTATGCACATTTGCGGACAACTAAGCGTTTTAATCGGTAAGCTCCAGCATCTTAATGACATCCCGGAGCCTGAGGATCGACTTGTCGCGATAATACTGGCTGATATCATCGAGCATCAGATAAAAGTGAAAACGTAAGTCTGTAATAATAAATGATGTGGAAAAGATTTTTATGTAATCATTTTATTTATTTTATTATAAGCGAATAACTTTTAAATAGAATTGATATAATATAATAAATTTATTATATCGTTATTATAGCTGTGATAATTTCTTTTGAATTATTAGAGCCTATTAAAAAAAGTGCAACATGATATTCAGATTAACATTACGAATCTATAATAAATCATAATTATCATATAAGATAAACATTATACTGCTATTTTAATTATTTTAATATTTAATTAAATATATTATATTCTAACACAATACAAGGCTGTAAACACAAAACTAAAAATTACAATCATTTAATGGATAAATTATTTGTTTACAGTTTCTTAAAACAAGTAGAGAAAACTATGCGATATGTATTATTAGTGGAAATAACGGGCTCTACTATACTTTTATGTCTTACCATGTACTATGTTCTTATGGTAATTATCACAAACAGTTTTCACGAGGCTTTTATCCATATATTACATTTTGGTAGTTCAATTAAGGCCCCTATTTTGTAACTCTTAACAACAGTATCGATATCGTTGCATGTTCTTTTTACAATCTAACAATATCGTTGTTATTATTATTAAACGTTATAGAATAGAGGCCTAATTTTTATAGAAATTAATAATAGGATAGTATTTGTGAAATATTATTTCAGGAGCTTTATATATTACAATAGCGTTAATTTTATAGGAATGGGAAAGAAGTGATTCTACAGCTATGTTAACTATGTTTGTGATTCTCACATCTTTCACGTTTTCTATTTTTACTAATTGTTACGTCGGTCAATTATTGACAGATCAGGTAGACAGCACTGATATAATCAATTATTTGCTGTAAAAATTAGACATCAATTTTCATAAGCATTTATGAAATGTACACCTAATCATGGCAGAGTATTAAGGTTGGATCAATGACATCTACGACAAATTGGCATCGTCTTCCTCACAAAAGAGCTCGTACTTTAATTCTGATAATGGCAGTTTCCAATATTCCAGCAAAAATCTCGGCAGGAAAAATGATAGAAATGTCCCTACCTACGTTCAGTAATGTAAGTGTAGAAACTTTTCTCATTTTATATAGCTTGTTATTAAATTATATATATTTTCCATTATTTCTTAGATCATTAAAACGTCACTGGCGTATTTTAATCTACTACGAAAATTTATTACGTAGTTTTGCTGAAATAACTATTATATACTCGAATATGAGTCTCTAAATATGATACAAATTTTTCAACGGATAAACAAGATAAATAATTTATATTTCTTATTTTATTTAATCCTTCCCTTTCACACATTAAAAGATTTTTTAAAACATAAAAAAACAACTTTTAGATATTTATATTTATTTAAGATTCATGTAGGATTAGTAATTTTTATGATTAGATGCTGCAAGATGTTAATCAGTTGATTTAATTAATAATAATTGACGTAGTTTTAAAAAGAATACAAAAAAATTTAAGTAAATACAAAAGGCTATTAAGAGTCAACGCTGTTAGCAGTGCGTAAAAATATAATCTTAAAATCTATAACATAGATATTATGTCGAACTTTTCGATCCTTCGTTTCGGATCATCATCAGCGACAATACAATATAAAATTAAAAATTACTCAGAGTTGCATGAGTAATTTTTAATTTTATATTGTATTGTCGCTGATGATGATCCGAAACGAAGGATCGAAACGTTCGACATAATATCTATGTTATAGATTTTAAGATTATATTTTTACGCACTGCTAACAGCGTTGACTCTTAATAGTCTTTTGTATTTACTTAAATTTTTTGTATTGTTTTTGAAACATATAAGAGTCTATAATTCAATTATATTGTTAATTTATTAATTTTTTTTTTGACGTAGTTTTGTTAGTTTAATATTCACAATTTGTGATCTATTATCTAACACAAAATAGATTATATAGACCAAGAGGTGACTTTAGTGATTTTGTTACCTATTTCGACAAGTATGAGAATCTTTTATTTTATGTAAAACAAAAAAAGGAAATGTATTTAAACCCAGTTGCGGGGTTTTTTAAAGAAGAGATGGGCTTGTCAAAATGTTGTAAATTTTGCATTTTTTATTAAAAGCATCAAGGTTGAATGTTGTTAGTTCAATCGATAATTAATATCCTGATTCCGAGATGGGCGAAAACTCCCATACACCTCAGAAGAGTGCAAGGGGTCGCCATACTGGGTAATAAATTTTTCCTGAAAAAAATCGATAAGCGACAAGATTGAATTTTTATCTACTACTTAATTTTGATGTCAATTGTCGAGAAATATAATTTCCATACTCTTTTTGGACGGTTACGAAGGCAGCCATACATACTCGACAAGTATGTTTTTACATTAAAAAAATTATACGTGTTCGAGTAGTTATGGTTGCCTTCGTAAACGTCCAAAGATATAGGAATCATATTTCTCGATTATTGACGTCAAAAGTAGTAGACCAAAATTCAATCTTGTCGCTATTGATTTTTTTTTTTAAAGTTTACTACAAAAAATACCACTTTGATCCAGCATGGCAACCCCTTGCAATGTTCTGTGAAACATGAAAGTTTCCGCTCGTCTCGGAATCAGAGTAACGGCTATCGATTGCAACAACATTCAACCTTGATACTTGCAGTAAAAAACTTGAAAAATCTGCAACAATTTGAAAAGCTCACCTCCTCTCCAAGGAATCGCAACCGAGTTTAAATATATTTTCCTTTTGCAAAAGTTATATATAACATAAAAGGTTCTTACACTTGTCAAAATAGATAATAAAATCACTAATAGTAGCCTCGTGGTCTAATAGATAGACAACATACTAAAGGCTGTTTAATATGAATCAGTTCTGTAAAATTATCTCCTACCAACAAAAAATTATGTGCACGCTATCTTTCGTATCAAACTTTTAATTTCGCTGCGACAGAACTACTACGGTAATAAAAGCGAAAAGCGTGCTTAATACAAAGTAATTACGTCGTATTCTCATCACTTATAATCGTGCAGCCACTTTGCAACAAGTAATCTAGTATATAGAGACAATCGAGTTTCTCTTTTTTCGTTTGCATATATGCCATTATATCCGAACGAATAAATCTATGGAGTAAGAATGAATCTATGGAGATTTAAATTATAAGGACAACATTAGGTATATCATGTAGGTACACGCATTAGGATCGATATACGAAAAAATCCCGAAAAGAGATGAGATTTTTAAAAAGAGGCTCTTCTGGACTGCAATTTATTAATCTTCAATCTAATGCTGTAAGTGTTTTAGAGAGTTTACTCATTATAAATATAGACATTCAAAAATATTTCACAATGATCAGCGAACTTTCCTTGTGTGGTATATTTTAAAATTAATTAAGTATTTGTTTATTAAAATCAGAAAAACCAACAGTAAACTTATTTTTTGGATTATTGTAAGATACGTTGTAAAAACATGTTTTTTTAAAATTATTATAGTACATTTACATTCTTATAATAAATTTACACACACTATATCCTATATTACTAGATATACCTAATACATTAGAAAAATATAATTCTTTTTGCTATTATTTATTTCTCAGTTAGAAATATTACATATTATTTAAATGGAACTTTAAATAATCTGTAAATATTTTAATATATAATAAATCTCATTTTATTTACGATCAACATAATTATATCTTATTACGTAGATAAACTTTTAATAGTATAATTATATATACATATATAT